AAATTTCCTTTAAAAAAAAAATAGCATTTTTTTACTGTTATTCCATGACAAATTGAATAATTTAATAAATAACTCTATGCATGCAATCATGTTAAATTGAAGACTATAATAAATTATGTATATGTATGTGTATAAGTAAATAAATTTGATAAAGTAATTTTCCCTTAAATTACTTAATTTCCTGGATTGATTTCCAAAAAAAAACATCTTATATATTAATATCAACCTACATTTAAATATACAAGGTAAATTATTATTAAATACTTTTAATGGGTCATATGCTATTAATCGCGAGTTGAGGTATATGCTGAATGCAAGTTGAATACGCTGATTGTCAGTTAAAGATTAATAAAAAGTGTTATTATTTTATTTAAGTACAAACTAAATTAAGGTAATTGTCAGGCGAATAATCTTATTCTTGTGTCAATTTTTGGCTTAATTTTTTTCCTCACTGCCAGAATCAGAATTCTTATTGGGTTTGGAAAAATGTTATAATATATCAATTGAACCCGTTGTTTTTCAAAGGAAAATATTGAAATGTCAGTCAGTAATATTTTTCTAATTTGATGTTTTATTGTATACGAATTTATGACGTTCACTCATTTTCTCAATTCTCAACCGATGGGAGAAAACATGAGATAAATGAGGTCCAAAGATTTTGTACCCAATTCAGAACCTTGGTTGCATTAATATTATTGGAATATAATTACAAATCACAAATAATGGATAAAATTTTTTAGACACACCTCGTAAGTAAAACTTTTTACAAAAGTTTAGAAAACTAAAATTTTCATAACACGAATTTTTTTTCGTATTTCACATAGTTAACGTAATTACATTTTCCATTCAAGAGGAAAAATAGTTTCGTGGTGTAATTTTAATTAAAATAATTATGAAATTTTTGATGGCAAAAATCATGATGACTACTTTTTTATATTATCGTATTATATTTTTAAACTTTTATAGATTGTCAACTTAATTTATCTATTTTAACACTAACTTTTATAATGAACTTAATGAATAGTAGTAATTATTTCGCTTATTATGTGATTATGTACAATTTAAAATAGAGGAAAAATTATATTTAAGAAACTAGAGAGCTAAAATAAAAGAAAAATAGAGTAGAAAAATTTGGAAAAAAGACAAAAAATGACATTAGAAGTGATAATTTTTGAAATTACATGAAATTACATAAGTTGTAAAATTAATTTTTAAATAATCTCCCAATTAATCTTAATTTAAAAAATTATGAAATTTGTACGTTGAAATTATATACTTACTGATAGGACTAGGCACTATAGTGTAATAAACATTCCAAACCGTTTTGGATATATTTTAAAATTTCAGGACAAAACGAATTTATGTTTGCAATGGCTTCTACCAGAAAACCGCAGTTCAATAAGTTTTAGAAATATTAAACCTTATTGAAGCAATTGATTATAAACCTATAATTTTACACTGTTTTGATTTTTTTATTGAATTTTCACATAAGCATAGACGTATAACTACGTAGATTTACAAAGAGCAAAATACTGAAGTTGGGTAAAATCTCGTCTTGCATTTCAATTCCCAGACTTTTTCAAAACTCTATAATTTTTATTAGTAAAGTTTTTCATATGTGTTTAAAAAAGTTTTTCTTCCTTTGTTTGCCTTTCTACCTTTTCGTCTTACACTTTTAATTAAAATCGCGTCAATAAATAAAAATAGAAAAATAAAAGTAAAAATAGAACTTCAAGTTTTTAAAAAAATCTAACTTACTTTTTCTTCTTTTTATTTTATTTTTGTTTATTATAAACTTTTGGAATAAATAAAAAAATCTGTGATCAGAACATAACCGACCGTCGTCTATATTCTCTAGATTATTAAAAGTATTCCAGAAGATAACGAAAATTAGTTTTAAACACTTCTTTACAATTTTAAGGACACTAATAAGCTTGTAGTTAACATATCTAGAAAAATGTGAATTTGGCTCCTGGTATAGTTTCATTTTGTGAGCTCAGCATTACACGAAAAATTCGTCATTAACTTCTGGTAATAACCAGAGCTCAAATATTAAATTTCAAGAAATCAATTCATTCCGTAGATATGGTAAAAAACGTAAAACCGGTTCCCGAGCCCTGATTTTTCCAAAAAATTAATAGATTCATTGTTTTAATTAATACCTCGAATTTAAATATTAATTTTCAATGAAATCGGTTGATTATTTCTCTTTATATACGCAAAAATGTAGATTTGGCCCGTAATAAACGTCCAGTTGCTGACACCTGTTCTCTTACAAATTTTAGCAGTTTTCGCGTACATTCGAATGAAGTTTTAAGTAAATCTGTTGAGTATTTTCTTCAAAATGATCATAAATGTAAAACAGGCCCTTTAAAAGGTTCGGTTTCCGAAACCTGATATATACCAAAATTTGATCAATCGTGCCATAGTCAAAAAAAATTACATATAAAATTTCATCAAAATTGATTCAGCCGAGCTTGGGCGCGTACACACAGACCGACAGTTTGCTAAAAGTAGTTTATTTACATTTCCTTAACATGAAGAAGTGTGTTGCCCCCGAAAATTCGATATGCAAAATTTGTTGCCATCACATCACCTACCTTATTGTATACACAATGCGGTCGGTAAAAATATTTCAAATTTTTGGAAAAGTTTGTGTTGACTTATTCTATTATTTTCAAATAATCAAGCGCCAGTTTTTAAAAAATTAAAATCTTTTTATAGTTGAAATTTTCGTGCACAAATAATTTTTTTTCGGGATATATAAATTGATTCCTTAATGAAACGTTTAATTTTAATCGCTATTTGTTCTTGTTCGACACAAGGTACGGATATACTTTTAAATAATAACCATTAAGGAAATTATTCACTAATATGTTTTAAAGTCTTTTATCTTATGGGACATAGGCATATGTCACAATGATGAAAAAGAAATGCCGTTATTTTTCTGTTTGAACTATCTTCTTCCCCTCTTAGCTTTTCGTTGTCTCTTAAAATTAGTAATATTTCAGACAGAAGTTCTTTTAGAGTTGTAGGCTTATCTTATTTTTCTATAAAAGAAGTAAAATAACATAATTAATTCCTTTTTATTACAAATTACAATTACACTAGGTCCTCAATATACGACATTTTTGGTAACAGAAATTTAAGTCACAAATCTGATTGTTGCTGTTGTGGCGTTTCACGTTTATTTAAAAGTTATGTGGCGTTTCACGTTTATTTAGGTTTAGATAGTGAAAATGGCAATTCTAGGTTTGAGATTCTAAGTGCTATAATGCTAAGTGCTCAAAAAACCTATTTCCAAATGTACATAGACATTTAAATATTTTATGCATCATATCCGACACTATTAATTAAATTACAATTATTTTTGAAAATTCGTTGTACAATTTTTGGTTAATTTGTTTTTTTTTTAATATTAAATTTAAAATATTTCATGCATTCAAATGAATCGTTGGGTTTAATTGAAAAAACTCAATTCGATATTCGATTATTTTTAATACTTGCTGATATTAATATGGCATATATGTATGTATATTATGTGCATACATATACAAATGTATATGTAGAACATTATTACCTTACAAGGGATCGTTTTTCAAAAAGCTTTTAAAATTATAAGTACGTTTTATTTAATTTTTTCTTCTTGTTATGAAAGTTTTTTCCTTTTTCCGTTCCTTTACGCATCAACTAATAACACAAGTACTTTTATTTTTCAAGTTTGTGTAAGATTTTCACACTTTTACAGACAAATACAAAAGCCATTGAAATTTAATGCTACAATAATAATAATACTAAATACAGACTTGCAGAGATATACTTAAAGAGATTTTCTGTCTTTCTCTCTCTCTTTCTTAGAATTTAATACAGAAATTGAGATTAGTACAGTCTTTATTTTATTAAGAAAATTTTAATCAATTTTATGAAAAAACAAACACAATAGAAAATATTTGAGAAAGTTTTGAAACAAAAACTTGTAAACTTTTCTAGTGTTTTCTTAAAAATAATTTTGTTCAATATTTTCTTTTATTGTATTTATAACAGATATTAATATTTATGTATGCATGTGTATATGTATATAACATAAAAGCGGTTTTAGCTGATCTAGCGCCCTATTTATAGTTTTTGTAAGTTGTTGAATTTAAATGTGAATCAAATACGTATTGTCTTGTGCTTTCTTATATTATAAATTTTCCAATTAGTTCAAATTTTCCAACAGTATTGATTTTTAATTTGTTCAAGTGTTGTTCGTTCTTTCAAAAGCCTTGTGCCACTGCAGACTTTTTAGGCATATTAGAATAAAACCCTTTAAATATGTTAAAAGATATTTATCTTTAAAAGTTTATAAATATTTCAAAATTTTATTTTATAAGGCTTCATTCTAAGTATTATAAGTTCACTTGAAGAAAATATTAATTATTATCGCAACCTAAGTGTATTCAAATCTTATTTTTTAAATTACCATAAGTAAATATAAATATTATAATTGAACCCTCCAAAAGCAATTTTTTAATATTTTACACAACTTCTAAATTTTAAATTTAATAAAAATGATTGTAAATGAGGAAAAAAATAGTTAAATTCTCTATATACGAAATAATGTGTAAAAATATTATACGTTAATTAATTTAATATGAAATATGAAATTGTGTATGAACCGAGACAGCTCTATAAAATATGTGTTAGAAAGCCAGAAAAATTAAAATGAAATTTGATTCATAAGTAAAGGTAACGCCATATTATTTTTTGCAAACATATTTAAATTAATAAGTTTGATCAAAGATTCAATGGGCAAATTAGTTAAAAGAATTTGTTGTCTTTAGTGTAAGTGTGTGTTCAGTACATTATAATATTTGTTAAGAACCAATAAAAATCGTAATTTCGCAGAAATAAATTACATTTTAGGAGAAAATCTCAGCCTAGTCTAGATTCTAACTTATTTTTAATAGAAGTTTAGAAACTACAAATAAAACAAAATAGTAGAATAAAAATATTCTTACGGTTTTCTCCAAATGAATTTGTATGTCCATTTTTTTATTAATTTTGATCCATTTTTTATACACATTTTTAAGTAATTCGCTTATGACACCTTGTTTGCGATTCAATTATCCATTATTTTTAAAAGATTTTCACTATAATAAATAGTGCCTGCATATCGATTTCATATACAACCATACACATAAATATTACAATTTTTTTTAAATAGACGTTGTAAGATTGTGATCCTCTTCTCGAATAAGAGCAAAAACGTGTATGCACAAGTATGCCACCATTACGATTTATTTAACAGTTTTTCGGTTTAAATAAAAATATTTTTTTTTTTTAAAAAATGCATAAATTTTTTTCTCTATACTTTTTCACGATTTAATGCACTGCAGGGGGATTTAAAATAAGTTAAAAAAGATTATGGAGGTGTGTTTTAAAAAAAATATAGAAAAATATTTACGAAACTAAAAGTTGCAGAAAATTATTATGCAACTGACATAAAATAGCATAGTAGCAAAATAGCATTCATCACAATAAAAAAAAAAAAACTTGCCATGCCATGTATGTAAGATTGTAAGTGTGGAAGAAGTGAAATAAAAATAGATTTGATATATTCAAGCTTTGCTTTTATATGTGAACGAATGAATTTTGAAGCATCATTTACAGCATTTATCATTCAGTGCATTTTTTAGATTTTGAATATTTTCTTAAATAATTCTTAAAATTTTAAAAGTTTTCCATTAAAATTTTTAATGTAACATTTGCGAAAATAAAAAGTGTTTAGTTTGAAAAATATTAACTGAGAGTTTGCATAAAAACTTGCATTTTTTATAATATTATTTTAAACAAGAAAAATATTACTTTCGGACCGAATTTCATATGGTGTTTCTCTAACAATTAAAAATAACTGTAATTTAACTCTTGAAAAAAGATAAATATAGAAGACTATTTTACTTGAATTTCTTGTGCTTCATGTTAATATAAAAGCATACTTCCACACTGAAGAAATAATTTTAAATGGTAAAATCTGCCAAATTGACTATCCTCCGAAGTAAACCACTCGCCTAAGTTATTTAATTCGTCAACACCGAAATTTGGTTGAACCAAAATTTTTCCATGCAAAATTTCTACAAATAACTTGCCTATGTCTAAATTGGGGTATCTGACAATTAAGAACCCCAATTCTTTTTTCTTCTACAATTTCTAGCAAAGTTGTAAATTTTTTTATTTTAAAGTGGAAACCAATTTCTTTAATAATTTTATTATTCCCATATTAACTATAGGAAATAAGTAATGGTTTTAGAAGTTAGTGAAATATTTATCATTTGTCAATAAATCTTATTCTAATTTGCTAAAAATAATATACTGAAGATATTTTTTGAAAAGCTATTTCAAAAAAAAGCTATTCTTAGAATGTCTTAAAAATTGAGTAAATTAATTTATAGGTTTTCACAACAGACCAATATCTACAAAAATATTACACTAAAATTTTTAAAGCTTGGATTACGTTCGACAGATTTTTCTAAAAGACATTGTATATAAAAGTAACAATTTCCTAAATATTTCCTGTAGGTATACATAAAAATTTGTAGCTTAACAGAATTTTGTGCTAAAAAATTCCTGAAATTTTTTTTACAATAAATATTAAAGCATTCTTGATTAGATTTCTAAATGTGATAGAATTTTTAAAAGATTATTTGAATCACGAATCCACAACATTTACACAGCATGCACATGAAGGAAATGGGAAGTACGGAATGGAATAAGGAATACCCTTCCTTATACTAGGGTATTTAAAATTAATAAAAAACCATTTTGTAAAAATTTTATTTTACTTTAAGCTGAATTATGTTTTTCTCAAATCTTGATGTAAGTTAAAATTTAGTCTGATATTAAATTTGAAAATTATATGCAGTAAAACATTGCCAGAACTGAAATTTCTCTACAACATTTTTCCACTTGAATTTTAAAATGCATTTCAGCATATTAACGGCTTTATCTCTATGTTCCGTTTTATGAAAGTGTTCAAGTTTTCAAGGTATAAATTGAGAAACAGCACATTCTATACAATTAAATACTTAAATTTTTCTTACATAAGGAAATTGGTGTACTGTTTTCCCTCATTTTTTAATTAAGTATTGACATAAGCATAACCTTTAAACTTGATGTAGTTTTTTTTTTGGTGTTGAAGTACTTTAAATGTAAACTTAAAATTTAAAATACTAAAAACAAAAAACCTCTAAAAATTTTTCGTTCAAAAAGTTGTAAACTATCCTTTAGAAAATTTTCTTATAAGAAAAGTCGAATCACGTACCACTATGTTCGGTATATTTTACCCTATTTTCTTTTATTTTCCTTGAGAAAAAAAACGAAATAACAAAAAGTAAAAATTATAAAAATGAACAAATAAACTTTGAACAGTTAGGGTTGCACATTCATTTAAAGTTTTCTTTTTCTCCGTCGTGTTATTTTCAAGTTTATTTTCTTTTCTAAAGAGTTCACAGTTGCAAATTCAAAAAAAAAGAAAAAAAATTAAAAAATTATGTTATTTTTTTCGTTCGCTTTTTTTTATTCTCATTTTTCCCAAAGTGTTTTTCATTTTCCACTTATTTTCAATTTTTTAATAAAAACAAGGAAAAAAGAATAGAAAAACAATAGCGGGAAAGCAAAAGAATTGTAAAACTTAAAACACAATTTTTTTATGAGAAAGAAATAAAAAAAAATAATTTTTTCGCGTGTGTTAATTTTTTATAATAAAAGAATGTTAAAAAGAAAATATTTTTTAAAAATAAAAAATAATTTAAAGACTTTCTTTTAATGAAAATTCAATTCTTGGTAATATACGATTATTAAATTAAGTAAAGACTACATTCTTGAGATGCGGCACAGCTCACGTAGTGTTGTACCACATCATTAATTAAAATGTGTTTTTTTTTGTCAGTTTAATGAATTTAGTTTAAAAAAAAATGCAATTTTAATATTTAAACAAAATTCAATAAAGGAAATGGAAATTGTATTAGTTTTTATCTTGCACTCATCTATTTTTAGCCAATTAAGAACGAAAAAAATTTATGAGTTTTAATATTTTTCCTATAATTAAATTCAAGTTAAAATATAAAGGTCTTTAGACTAGAATTAACCAAATTCCAGCTCAAAATTTACATTATTCTTAGAGATAATTTAGACAAAAATCATAAATAATTTTGGTTACAAAATTTTCATAGTTTACGAATTTTAGAGGGATTGAATATGAACTGAGGAATAAATGGGTCAGTAAAAAGGCTACAATTCTAAAAGGGAAAAGTAATCAAAACTAAATTAATTATTTTGATAATTTTTATAAAACTTATTAAAGTATTCATAGAGGATCACAAAGTTGGTGCAATCAATTCTTTCTTTTTAGCACTTTTCCAAAAAAATTTTTGAAAAAAGTGCTTATTAGTTTCACTCTGTCCGTCCGTCCGTCCGTCCGTGGACACTTTTTTTGTTTACAAAACTTCTAAACCCTTTAAGATAGAAAGCTGAAATTTCATACGTACATAGATCTTTACTAGAAACTTATTTCCGTGGAACAAAATTTTTACCTATCTCCCCCCCTCTAGAAGTTATATCCCCCCAAAACCCTAAAAATGGCCTTTTTTAAATATTTGTTGCAATGAAACCATAAGCATTTTTGAAATTTTGCAAACGCAGAAAGGCAGTGGCTTGCTTCCCCTAGCGCGATATACTATAGTTAAACTTTAGAAAAACAAAATGGCCGTTCAAATTTACCGTTATCTAAAGTCCTTTTTTTCCAAATTTTTGATGTCATTTTTCTTCTAGACCCCAGCCTGTAGAAGCTTGAAATTTTAAGAGCTTTTAGACATTAACAAATAGTTCATTTTGTTAGAAGAAAATTTTTTTCCATCTCCACCCCCTCTCAAGTTATCACCTCTTGAAATTCGTAAAATTTGAATTTTTGACATCCCATATTTCCGAAACAGCAAGCTTTTTCAAATTTTTATAAACGCAAAAAGCTAACGGTAAATTCCATGAAATTAAAAAATATAATTATTTCTCTTAACTCACACAATTAACCCTTAAAATCGAGCATTATGTTAACCCCTTTTTATATTAATTTTTGCTTTATTTCAAACACTGCATATATGCGTCATCCTAAATATATGCAATTCTAGAAATAGTTTTGTATATGAATGAAAATAATTTTAATAGTTTGATAGCTATACATAGACTGTATTTAAAAGCAGAATTTTCACTTGTTGAAGGGAAAAGTGCTACAATACAAACCATTGGTTTGACCCAACTTTATTGTACAGTAAAATTAGTGTCAATGTTCTAAGATTTTAAGATATCATTTTTGTAACAAAAAATGTACAAATTAAAAAAACTGCAAATTTAGTAAATACTAATAAATTATTTGTAAATAAAAGATTGTTCAAATAATTATTTACTAAATAAAATCTTTGATACATTTTTATATATAGAAATTTTAAATTAATGTCAATGAACCAATTGATTAAAAATATAGGGGACATTTCAGTTATTGTAATGGTAATTTGAAAAAATTGAGAATATTGCATCCAAAATGTGACAAAAATCACATCATATCAATTGTGGCATATTGCTTTAACAGATTTCCACAAAGCTTCGAAAATATCAAACATTAAAAAAAAAATAATATTATTGGGAACGAGCATGTGTGAAGTATAACGGTTGATTGATTAATTATTACATTCAAGGACCAAATTTTTTATCATTTTTGTTGTTAATTATGAAAAAAATTGTAAATATTAAAAGGATTAAAGTTTTGATTTATGTGTTTGTCATGTATGTCATCAATTATATCTTTTACATAATATGAAAGTAGAAATTAATCTAAGGAATGGCGGCACAATAAAGAAATCATTATTATCAATATCATCATAAGTGATGCTGGTTTTTTTAGCCAAACAGGTTTCTAACCAAATGCAGTGAAAAATCTTTTAACTAAACGTTTCAGCTTCTACAATTTTTGAGTAAACCAAATAAAATTCA